GAGTAGCTGGGACTACAGATGCATGCAGCCTGGTTAATTTTTCTATTTTTAGTAGAGATGGGGTCTCACTCTTGCTCAGGCTGTTCTTGAACTCCTGAGCTCAAGGAATCCTACTGCCTTGGTCTCCCAGAGTGCTAGGATTACAGACGTGAGCCACTGTGCCCGGCCTATGTTTTGAATATTAACTCCTTATCAGAGGTATGGTTTGCAAATATTTTCTCCTAACCTATAGGTTGTCCTTCATGCTGTTAATTGTTTCCTTTGCTGTGCAGAAGCCTTTTAATTTGATATAATCCCATTTGTCTATTTTTGCTTGTATTGCCTGTGCTTTTGGAGTCAAATTCAAAAAAAATCATTGCCCAGACCATTGTGTGGCTTTCCTCGCATGTTTTTGTCTAATAGTTTTGCAGTTTCTGGTCTTTACATTTACATTTAGGTCTTTAATCTATTTTGAGTTGTTTTTTATATATGGTGTAAGATAAGGGTCCGATTTTATTCTTCTGCATGTGGATATCCAGTTTTCCCAGCACCATTTATTGAAGAAACTGTCCTTTTTCCATTGTTTATTCTTGGCACCTTTGTCAAAAATCAGTTGATAATACATGTGTGGGTTCATTTCTGGGCTCTCTATTCTGTTCCATTTGTCAGTGTCTATTGTTTTTTTTTGCCAGCGCCATACTGTTTTAATTACTGTAGCTTTGTAGTATAGTTTGATATCAGGTAGTGTAATGCTTCCAGCCTTCTTTTTGCTAATGATTGCCTTGGCTATTCAGGTTTTTTTGTAGTTCTATATGAATTTTAGGATGGTTTTTTTCTATTTTTGTGAAAAATGACATTGGAATTTTGATAGATTGCTGGATGCTTTTTATTAACAGGTATACTTTTGGTTTATGTCATTTCTACAGATATCTGATATCAGTCATTACTTTTTATGTTTTCCCAATTTCATTCTCAAAGGGGAACCTTAACTTCAGTTTGAGCGTTATCTCCTTGTTGTTCACATTAATCTCTTTGGGGGGCTACTTTAAATGTTTTGTTTGGCATTTATGACACTATATGACACTAACTGCTACAGTTCGGACACAATAAACATTGAGGACTTGGTTTGTGATGATCACTGTGTGCTTTGGTTAGAAAGATGAGTAAGCCATAGCCTTTGCCCGCAAGGATTTTATAGTCAAGTGAATTTACCTCCTGCTCCTTTTTAAACTATCTTCTTCCCAAGTTACCCCATCTACACTTAAAACTTCACTTATCACTTACTTGCAGATGATCCTCAAATCCATATCTTTAAATCAGAGCTCAGCTAGCTTTAGACCTTTATCCAGCTGCTTATTGAATATCTTCACTTTGATGTTCCTTAAGCACCTCAAGCTCAAACATACCCTAAATTGAACCTATTTTCTCCTTTCCTACCCAAATATCAACATCAATCCCCAATACATCAAAGCTGAACTAAACTAAAAACAACCTGCATTTCCTTTGTTCCTTATATGGATGAAGAACATTCTTTAGTAGCCCATGCAAACCACCGTCCTTGACTTATCTCATTTATCCCCTACCCCAAAATTTTACCTCCTTTGTATTTTTTTTTTTTTTTTGAGACAGTCTCACTGTGTTGCCCGGGCTAGAGTGCCGTGGCGTCA